AAGAACAGTGTACTTTGCTAGGTAAGACGCCTTTTTTATTGCTCATATCAAAAAATCACCGAACGCTGCATTCGAAATATTGTTTCGGCCTCCTCATCAACATACCTGATTTTAGGGGCGAAGCTCTTTGCGCCGTGGGTCGGATGTCTCGTGTCGTCGCAGCCGCCAGTTGCATTGCATTGGATGTCGTTTAAAACAATGTCACAGCATATCCACGAAGTGAATGACGATAAGTGGGATGAAGCGTCCGTCAGTCTGTCCATGCTTCCGTACGTCCTTGTATGTATCCATCTGTCCATCCATGCGTCCTTCCATCCATCCGTCTGTGCGTTCATCCGCCCGCTTCACCCCACTTATCATCATTCACTTCGTGGACATGCTGTGATTTTTTTTTTCTCGGCTATTCGTACGTTGCTGCAAAGTGGAGTTGCCATCAATATGCTGAATTTCTTTGTTAGAAATAAGAAGAAAGTTGAATAGTTTAACGTTTTTATACGAAATTATGTCAAGGAAAGTTGCCTTGAATGTACCTTGCGGCGTTCAGCCAGCCACTGCTAGGAATACCCACCATATATATGATCGATTCTTGGCACATATATTTGCATGAACTAATGCTTACAAATACAGTTCTTTCCCAGAACAGTTGACGAATGCGATTCACTGCCTCATTGGATCTTTTCGCCTGACAATTTTGCTTTGTCCCTGGTAAGGTTATATACTTGGTGATTAGAGTGGTCAATTCTGTTATAAATTTTGTTGCTGTTTCACAGATATGTTACCTCTGTTAGCCCATGGATACATGTTTTTTTCTTTTTTGTTTTGCTGTTACGAATCACTTGATTTTTCTTACGCCCCTCCTGCCTGGACCAAAATGCTAGTCTGCAGTAAATCTAAATAAGTAAATAAAATAAATAAAAATAATCAGCTCCCACTTCTTCACTTCACACGCACTTGGTCAATTGTTGATAATACACAACTGTGGTCTGCTTTTCCTGCGAACAAATTCGTGGGATGACACAACTTCTCGATCATGCTTTTTGAAACAGTTAGGATTTGTTTACGAGAACGTTTGTTGGATTAAACAAATGAATGGATAGATATTACACTAATTAGTGCTCGTGTCCGTGAGGTCATTTATTTTGTGATTTGTTTTTAGGGGAGAATCAACACACAAAATTCATGAAAGATATTTGGTCTGTTAAAAAAATAGAGAGGTGGAATGAAAAAAAAAGCTATAGCTTGTTGACACAGAGTTAGCCATTTTCTAGGAGACCATGGCCACAATCGTTTTGGTCACGCCTGCATTAGCATGTCTTCCAATCCCCAATAAGAAACTACATTATCTTTTATACTAGTGCCACATGGGTACTTCTTACCGGGATCAGTCAGCCCCAATAGAATTTTTTCGTCGCTATCGACGCACAGATAATGAGGACAATCCTGGTGCAGAGTTTCTCCTCTCACAGGTGACCCGATCGCTAGATTTTTGACAAAAACTAGAAAATAGAGTCCTAATTATTCATTTTCTTACGTTGCTGTTATTGTGGTAAGCCACTGTTGGCGACACTTAATCGCATTGGCATTGCTCAAAGGCCTTCTTCAGTTTTAAGAGCACTGCGCAAAGATACTTTAACGCAGAGAAGATGGACCCATGGGGAAACGATCCTCCATCCGCGAAGTCATTGCAGTATGTGACGCTGGAAGTACCAGTGTCTCGGCACGTTGACAAGCACGAAAAAAAAATGCGAACACAGACGGACATGCCACAAGCAGAACTACATCAGGTGCAAACATACAGCATAGTATCATGCGGCAGAAAAGCATCCGCACCATAGAACACCCCATAAGAAGTTTTATTTAATTACCATGGCCCACTTATACGACCATTGGAGGAAGCTTATCTTTTAATAAACAATTGCTTCATTACTCTTAATTTTATTTTAACCATTAAAAAAGGTTCAGCATTACTGTGGCATGCAAGCTACCGCAAATGAACCGCCTTCGTTGAATTCTGCGGCGCGCCCGCGGGAGGGTTGGCGAAAAATGGCCCCGTCCGTCGCGCGCACGGCATGTGGGTGAGGATAATCGAGGAGGAAACGCGCGCGTGAAGGAGAGTGTCGTTACTTTCCCAGGATCAAGGGGCTTTATGATGGATGGATGGATGGATGGATGGATCGATGGATAAGGCTGAACCCTTTAGGTGAGCGCTGAGGTAGTAGCGCCCTCTCTTGCACTCCAACAGCAGCCACAGTCGCAACACCAGCGGCAAGCAGCAGATGAGGAGCACGTCAACGCGCCGAGACACTAGGGAGATTTAGAATAGTGCACCGCGAGTCCTTGAGGTGAAGTCGCTGCCACTGTGCATGCGTCGTAACGCAAGTCGGCGTTCGCGTTCGTGGACCACCCGCAGAAAATTTGAGATTGCGTGCGGCGATCGCGGCCCGCATGTGGCCCGCAAGCACTGGTTTCGAGGCTACAGTAGCACTGCGACCGTGCGCGGCGGTTTGCAGTAAAGCAAACGCTATTCTAAAGCTCATATGGTGCCCGCTACGCACGCAAGGCCCGCAGCGCTTGCAAGCGGTATTTCAAAGCTCCCTACTAAGGTGCTTCGCCCATTTCGGCTATGCCAACAGATAGAACAAAAAATGAATCGACGAATATTTTTCGTGAAATCTTGATGAAATTTTGCAGAAAGCTAACACATGCTGCACAATGGACTTATATCAGATGCCCTAGAGGAACGAAATTGAAATTTGCTTATGTCGATCTAGCATTTTCGGTAAAACCGTAGCAGCTTCGAGGACGGCGCACAATCAGGAAATTGCAGCGCGAGCGAAGATAAAAAAAAAACAACGTCGGTAGTGTGCATTCTTTTCAGCGTTGTGTACTCCAATCACAATAATAGCTAACTCCTCCGGTGAGGATATGTTACCCAGTTCGCGGGTTTTCACTGGAAATAGCAGGGTGGCCACCATCATGAGGGCTAAAGTACTAATTTCGAAGTAGAAGTAGTAAAGAAACGAATCATAGATAGATTAAAAACCCGTAGTCGAGGACAGCTTTTTTAAGATGATAATCTTTCCTGGGAACCTTTGACGGAAAAATTTTAGTCTGTCTGTCTGTCTGTCTGTATATATGTTCATTACTCTGTTTGTCCGCCTTAACGATATCTCAAACGGCACCAAGCGGCCAACCCCATCCACAGCGCCCACCAATATTGCTCAAAGTTTAGCGTTCATACTTAAGCGATTGTCAATTAAAAAAGCAAATATTGCGCATATCTGAGGCGCCATAACAACATGTCATTGTTTTGTATGTCTGCCTTTATACAAGAAAAGGCACACACAAGTAACTCTAAGGACTGTAGCGCTTAAGGCGCTGAGCTGACAGTGCAACGCGATGCTCAAGAAGTTGTTTCCAACGCTTTGCTACGACGGCACGGTGGTGGCATCTGACCGTCGCTTTACATTTTACACCTTATCACCTCTGTGACTGGCGCACATCTTTCTTCGCGGTCGCGCATGCCTTCGTTTTTGAAGACAACTGCAGGATGGCGCTCGTGTATAACGTGCCTAAAGGCGTTTGTTCGCCTCCGTTACATGCTCGAGGCACTCTAACGCAGCGCCTTCAGAATACCATTCACCGGTTTTCTTGCTCACAACATCAAATAAACGTTTTGTTCACCATCTCGAGATGTAAGACTATAGTCTTTCGACGACATTTACAGTGTAACATGTCGATTCGGGCCAATTTTTTTTTCGGGGCTTTGCCACGATTAACAAAACGTATATTTATTAATATAACAAAGAGCTGAAGGCACAAGGCATGAAGCGTAGCAATTAAAATGAGCTGGAACAAAAATTACTAGAAGGGAGAAAGTGTGAAAAAAGAAAAATAGGAAGACTACTTGAAATATAATAAATGAAAGATGTGAAAATTGATGGGTACGCATTCTTGTGTTTTTTGACGCATTAAATTTGTGTGTCTTACTTCTGATTGATTAACCATTAGAGCGCTATTAAAATGTTTCTGGCTGTCTACAAACATGATGATACTGTAGTGTCTGAAATATTCGTACGCTCTCTGCGACTAAGTACATCAGTAGAAGGAATGATAAAGTGTGCAGCTTGATTATTTTTGTCAGTAGTCGTCATTGACAGTGCATTATTTTTCACTACATACTTATTTCATTGTCAGCTAGAATCCTCATCTATAGTCTTGAAACTGAAACCTGTGCGCTCTGTTTCTCCCCTTAGAGCAGAAGTGAAGCTTCGGCGCTGAAACGAGACAGGTCACAATAATTTTAAAGGAAGTAAGTGTCATTGCTGCCAGAACACTTCACGGAAAATAATTTTGAACCGTCCGTTCTTCAATTATTAGGAAAAGGAATGTCCTTACCGTAATCTGTTGAATGAGAAGCAGTCTGAAAGTTAAATTTCATAGACCACCTCTGTTGAGTTTCGTGACGTGCCTTGACAAACCTGTGTAAGCAAATGAAGGGAAGTTTGTGCTCAGCGCTAGTGCGTTTCCTGAACTGCCATTTTCGTGCACACTCATACCTCCTTTGTTTCAATTCACTATGCAAATATCGAGTGAGCTTGCTTGTGTAGTTCACAGAATAAGCAACGCAAAGTCAAACGAGTGCTTTTTGGGAACAACACTACAGAGTGTAGATGAGGAGCCACAAATAACGATGTTATTGTGCTTTATTACATATACCTAGGGGGCTTATTTTGTAACCTCGTTGTTGATTTTTTAATGGACGAGGTATAGATATAAAATGTTGTCTATCATTACACTAGAGCTAAAAAATTGTAGCCGATTTTTTCCGCCAAGTTTGAAAACCTTACCGTACCTTCTTTTTCTTTTTTCATTAATATTATAAAAGTCTAGGCTGCCTCACAGAGCAAATATTGCAATTTATATGTACGCGGTGAACCAGTTAAGCATGCGTATTGCGCCTATTTGTTGATTGATTGATCTTTTTGCTTACGTCACAGGTCGCCTTGGATTGTATGATCAAGCCTCCACGTCCAGGTGGCGCTTCGTATGAGTTGTACACTAAGGTAAGTTTTATCGCTCGCCGAAAACAGAAAGAGAAGGTACAAGAATTCCCAATGAGCCAATAAATTGAAGTGTTGAGTCTTACAAATATAAGTCCTGAGAGACGCAAAAAAAACGCTATCTGCGGTAATGACATATGAAAAAAAGGAGTATGTGACAACAAGCACATAAATGTGAAAAGGTTTCGAATTCTCGAGACGCTGAGTTTTTCGGGGGAAGACTACTTGAGCTCCCGGCTGATTGAGTCAAATTTCCTTGTGATGCGTTCTTCCGCATGAACTCTTGGCTATATCCTTGTATAATTAGAAAGGTATGCCAAATTTACTCGTTCTCAGCAAATACGCACAAGCGTATACCATAGAATAATTTCGTCTATATCAAAGGACACGCAGCTCACAGTTTCTGAGACCATGAACTTATACATGAGCAGAGTGGTATTAGTTCTTTACTCGAAGAGGCAATCGATGGCTGCAATATCGGCGCCATTATAGCGGGGCATTTCTCAAAGTTTTATGTCACATCCGACTGTATATTTTGTCAGCTACTGAAGAATTACACGAGGCATTCTAAAAAAATTATTTTCAGTACATAGTGTGCTAGTCAATGAACATCATCATTTGGTTCCACTGCAAGCTGGCAGAATCATTACTGAAGTGGTGCTTCCGACTATTGTGAATTGTTTGGCCATCTGACACGTAAGAAGCATGACAGGCACAAGCGATTAAGGGTGGTTCAAACCTACAACCTCCTACTATTACTACTACAACTACCATATACACGACAGTCACGGCATTTCACCCGCGCGTTTCGTCTTGAGGCGCAGCAATGAGGCTTCTTGGGCGGAAAAGTGAAGAGATTAGCAAAGAAAGCATGCCTTCAAACTATTAGTCCGGCCTTCACTTCAAGGTAAGGCACAGGTAAAATATAGTTTGTGATTGTCCAAGCAGACATAAAAGCACAGATAGCGAAAAGAAGCGGTAGAGCGACGTGGAGAATGTCTAGTTAAAAGATAAGACGTGTTTAATAATTGCAGGATGGCGAGAGTAGGGGGCTCGGTGTACTTCATGTACACAAAATCATCTAGTGTATTTGTAGCACGAATGACAGGCTAGGTTTGACACTACACGAAAGATTCCAAAGGGACTGATACTTACAACAGGTCACAACGTGTAACCATAATTCGTAGGGAGAGAATCAAGCAATCGATTGACACAATTTGAAGAAAGGATTTGTTTTTGAAATGGCGTTTGATTGAGAGTAAAAGTGTCTCATGGTGAAGTCTTGGCACTGCGCGAATAAATTGCTTTGATAGCAGGATCTCGCGTGCTGCTGATTAAGCTCTCCATAATTTGTGGTATTAATTAGTCTGTATCATCGTTTACGGCACCAAAAACACGGGTGTCGAGGATTGGCTTCAATGTAACGAACGGGTGTGCGCACTGTACGACTGGTACTCGATGCTCATGCTGGCCAACACTCTTTTTACCTTGAGAAAACAGCCAGCCAATATCTTTGCGGTTACAAGGTAACAACAGCCAGCGCTGAGACGCGACGCCTCATTTGCACCTAATAGTGCTATGTGAAACCTGTTGAGACCGCAGCACATGTAGAGGAAAGCAGGTTCGAAATCTCTATGAGGATCACGTGCCACTGTTTGGAGCATGTGTTGCGCATGCAATCTCATCAGCCCTGCAGTTCTGAATACAGGAATGACTCATGGTGTCTTCCGTGTCAAAACATGACAATATTTTCGTCGTGAATACATAGTTGCGACAAAAATATTTGTATCAGAAAAATGTCAGTACTTTATAGCAAAAGAACACACCCAACAAAACTTCCGTATTGATGTTGCACATCAGATATGTGTAATATTTGTTTAGGGATCACCAATGCTCGACGTATGATTCCTTAAGTTTTACTGGGTGCCGGGATACTGGGTATTTTACTGGGTGCCGGGATAAACAGAAATAAAAGCAGAGAGACGAAGCTTTCTGCATTTAAGTATTCCAAGAAAGGCTGCCCTTCTTAAATGTACTCAAAGTTACGAGGCGCGCGGTACGTATTTTCTTTTCCCTTGCTTATGTTCCAGCACTTTCGTCAGAAAGGGAGAAGAGAGAAGGTAATATACCATATTCAAGTACACTAGCGCCACCAATGAATGCACAAGCGCTTATGCGGAAAGCATGAACGCCAGCAGCTGCCGAAACTAGCACCGGGACCTCACGCTTTAGCTTTCCGCTTTCGCCGTGCCAAAACTTTCTTGATGCAGTTGATTTGGGAAGGTGCAACACAGTACTGTGTGATTCAATCACTAAGTTCAGTGTGTAACTGCGGTGGCCTCTCAATGATTGCTATCGGTATCGGTTCCACTGTTGGGCCAGCTATTTGTCTCAGCAACAGCATTCTTTGTGTTGGGGCCTTCGAATAACCTACGAACCTACGACCTTCGAATAACGCGTTCGATGCTCGAACGCGTTATTCGAAGGTCGTAGGTTCAATTCCTGGTCACGGCTGGTTATTTTTTCATCCACTTTTTTTTCTTCTTATTTACATTCCATTGGCTCTAATAACTTCCCCGGTACATTCCTTGGCATTACTGTCTGTTAGATCTCATATATATATATATATATATATATATATATATATATATATATATATATATATATATTGAAAAGGGGTTTATTGGCGGCTGTTGCGACGGTGGCCATGGGGACAGAGCAACGGTCAAGCAGATGCCGGTGATGATCAGCACGAGCCGAGTGAGCGAAGCCCAGCACCCAGTACCCAAGCGGTGGCGATGTTGCTTGCCAACGATGCGTTTTCTTCTTCACAATTTGCCCCAGCCAAAAAAGAGCCATCCTGGCGACCTAAGAGTCTGGAGGCAGAAGGCTATGATATGAATTAAGGCGGGCGACGTGTACGATGTCACGTCCACGCCGGCGCATGTGGTCAGATGGGGAAAGTCGCTCAATGAGAAAAATCACCGGCGAGGTTTGCTCCAAAACGCGGTATGGGCCCTCGTACTTTGGAACGAGTTTTGAGGAAATGCCGGGGGTTTGGTAAGGAACAGTCAGCCATACAAGTGATCCCGGGGAATAGCTGGGGCATTGTGAAGAGTCGGCGTTGTTTTCTTTCTGGCTCTGTTGTTCTTGTGACGTAAAGATGCGTGCGAGTTCACGGCACACTTCCGCATTTCGGGCAGCTTCAAACACAGATGGGCATTCGGATGCGTCAGGACGGTATGGACGGTATTCGTAGTCAGGTTAAAATCAACTCATTAGATTTCTTTGAAATTTCTCCAGATCCGCGCTCTAGACACAAACACACTTTATATATACAGCCACCAGCCACCCGAAACGACGCATTTAAATACAGCTTCTTTCCGAGGGCAATTAAAGAATGGAATGAACTACCAAACAAAGTCGCGATGTCTTCCTCTATCACGGCGTTTTCTGCAGCTTTAGAATCGCTTATTTTCTCCGAAATAGATGCGTCATAATTCACGATGTCAATGTATATTGCCTCTCGCTTTGTTAATTGTTGTTTTCTATGCGCAGAATGCAAGTGCACATGCCTGTGTTTAACTTTGTCTTTTAGTGTAAATACCTGTGTTCGCTGTATGTCTCTATTTTGTAACGTATTTCATGACCATTTCTTTCATTTGTTTTCCACTCCTGTAAAAACCCCAGCTGGGGTTGACAGTATTAATAAACAAACAACAAACAAAGGAGAGTGTCGATGGTGTGGGATGGTTCGCGTCCATAAAGAAGAAAGAAAGGTGAAAATCCCGTGGTAGACTGTGCCGCGGTGTTATATGCGAACGTGATGAATGGAAGAATGCGGTTCCAGTTAGTATGATTGGATGTCACATACATGGCGATCTTATCTCCAAGGGTGCGGTTAAATCTTTGCGTGAGCCCGTTAGTCTGCGGGTGGTATGCCGTGGTCTTGCGATGAACAACATGGCATTCAGAGAGCAGAAACCTTACGACTTCTGATAGGAAGGCTCGACCTCGGTCGCTTAGAAGTTCTCGAGGTGCACCATGTCGTAGTATGAAGCGATGAAGGATGAAGGATGCTACGTCCCGCGCAGTGGCACTTGGAAGAGAGGCGGTCTCAGCGTAGCGTGTTAAATGGTCCACAGCGACTATGATCCACCGATTTTCATCTGATGTTGTCGGTAGAGGGCCGTAGAGATCAATTCCGATCCGATCGAAAGGTTTGGCAGGGCACGGAAGCGGTTGAAGCGCACCGGACGAGTTTAAAGGCGGTGATTTGCGGCGTTGACAGTCAGAGCAGCCCATAACGAATTTTCGAACAAAATTATACATTCCGCGCCAGTAGAAGTGATGGCGAATGCGTTCGTCAGTTTTGAAAACTCCGGCATGACCACATTGGGGATCGTCGTAAAAGGAGGCGCAGATTTGTGAACGCAAGCAACGCGGGACAACCAAGAACCACTTACGACCTTCAGGGGCGTAGCTGCGTCGGTGTAGCAGCCGATCACGAATGACGAAATGAGCAGCTTGACGTCGGAAAGATCGTGGTACTGCAGTGGTTGACAATCCAGAGAGACAGTTAAAAAGGAAAGCGATCCACGGGTCCTTGTGTTGTTCACTGGCAAAGGAGTCGAGGTCGAGAGATGTGACGGAGTTGGTACCAGTGGTTCCGCAGGCCGAGTCGGGAGGTAAAGGCGAATGCGACAGGGCGTCGGCGTCAGAATGCTTGCGTCCGCTGCGATAGATGACGCGAATGTCGTACTCCTGGATTTGCAGTGCCCACCGAGCTAGGTGGCCAGAAGGATCTTTCAATGTGGCGAGCCAACAAAGTGCATGGTAGTACGTCACCAGGTCGAATGGGCGACCGTACAAATAAGGGCGGAACTTGCGAAGCGCCCGCACTAGCGCCAAGCACTCTTTTTAAGTGACGCTGTAATTAGCGTCAGCTTTAGTAAGTGTGCGACTCGCATAAGCGATGACGTATTCGGAGTAGCCCGGCTTGC